GTCCCTGGTCTGCTGGGGGGGTCCAGCGGCTTTGCTGGACCCCCCCCCCAGCAGACCAGGGAGACCGGGAGAAGCTTTTCTCGCCCCGGAGGACACGGGTGGCGACCCGCCACTCCTGAGCTCTGGGGCGAGAAAAGCCCCGTTCGTAAGTGCGGATCCGACGTAAGTCGGGGACTGCCTGTACTATAATAGTGCTCTGGCAGTTGTGCAGTTCTACCATGCTAGAAGTAGTTCACCCAGATGTGATCATGTTTAGTATTACTGTAGCAATTACTGCTTTACATCTTCAAAAACTATATACTGCAAAGAACCAATCTCACTATTCCCATCTGAATTATAGTAGGCAAGCAGTATTACCCATTTTCTGAGGCATAGTATTATAGGGGCCATGGGGAGGAGAGATTGCACAACTTGCCTAAAGTCACAACAAATCATGCAGAGCTAGAATTTAAACAAGGAACTTATTTACTACTATACCATGCTTCTGCTTTTTATCCTGACATGGTGTACATTGATTCTTTGAGGCTTTAATGAGCTCTGAGTTTAGTGGCCTGGTTGCCCTGATGAAATCAGAATAGGGCCTGGCTTACTGTCTGATTCCAAAATGGCAGTGAAACTACTAGATTACATAAAAACTGCTATAAATCAGTTTTGGAATTAATTCTTCATTTCCTCTAGATTTCCAAAAATTTTCTTAAGAGACTGCTGGATTGAAAACATTTCAAAATTTTTGATACATTTTAGGTGTTTGGAAGAGGTTATCTAAAATACTAAAAAAAGTAGGGGTATTATAATTAATGTTATGTTAAATGTGTAATGAGTAACTTACTCTGCTTTTTAGTTGTGTATCATATTTTTTAAATTGAATTGTGTATAATACTGCATCATTGTGAAAGGGAAATACTGCCGCACAGTTTGCATGTATGATTTTTTTTTTCCTTGAGGCACTATCTAAGCGGAGCGCTTAATTCGAATTTGGTAAACCTCATTCTACGAGGAGTAACGCCAAATTCGAAATAGCTGTTTCGAATTAAGTGCTGTGTAGACACTTAATTCGAAATAGGGGGCCTCCAGCCCTTCCCAGGGAGGCCTGGTGGCCACTCTGGGCACAATCAGGAAAACTTACTCTCCTCTCCCCCAGCCCTGGAGCCATTAAAGGGGTAGACCCTGGCCACAGTGCCTGTGCCAGCTCCAAGACTGCTAGCCCAGAGCCAGCAGTGGCCCCAAAACATGAGCTGGCAAGGCACTGGCAGCCAGCCCTGCACTGCTCCCCAGGAGCAGTCTGCCAGCTCATCTAGTTATTAGACGAGTGGAGGGCTAGGAATCCAGGCTCATGGTTTTCTGGGCTCTGATGCTAGAGTGCCCGGTGCCTTGGACAAGTCACTTAAACTTTGACTACACTGGAAGTCTGTGCAAAAATTTCTCACCATTGCTAACATTAGTGGTAGTAATATTAATTATCCACGCGTAGATGGGCCACCAGTGCTTTGAAAATTTTCCCTTGTAATGTTTCTAACTCCCTTGGGTATTTTTGAGAATCTGCTCCATGTCAGTTAGATGCTTTTCGAGGAATGTCAGGTAATATGGTGCTTGGAATACTGGGGTGACAACATTCTTATCTCTGTTTCCTTGTCTTCATCTATGAAAGGAATCGGACATTCCTTTGCTATGTCACACATGTTCAGACTGTATGCAGAGTTCTTTGAAATATGGACCAAAAGTGTGTCAGCAGTACTAGGCAGTAGTGTAAACACACTGCAGTATGAGAACTTACGCAGGACAAATGTTTCATGCTGAGATGATTTTTTTTTGGTCTGATTTCTTTAACATGATTCACTTTCTTTGTCAGGTTCCCAGAAACCAGACCAAGCTAACAATCATGCTTGAAAAGTTGGGAATGAACTATGATGGACGCCCTCATAGTGGACTTGATGACTCTAAGAACATTGCACGGATAGCTATCCGCATGCTTCAGGATGGGTGTGAGCTGCGTGTGAATGAGAGAATGCATGGCGGGCAGCTAATGACTGTGTCATCCTCTGCCCCAGTAGAGGGCGCCCCTGCTCCACAACTGCCCCGTTATAGAAACTAGCTTTTGAAACATGCTGCATTTGGGTCCAATAGTGAAGACTGAAACTATGAATTGTTAATGCATCTTATCAAGTGGTCATTTCAGCGAATCAGTTCTGCAATGCAAAAATCTAAAAGCACCTTGAACAACTTTTGCTGTTAAAATAATGGGGGAGTATATAAACTCTTTGTTAAAACTTGTGCCACAGCATTTTTGGTCCTGATCATATTTTTTGTAAGTCACCTTGACACCTTTTCGTATAAGGTTGATGTATAGTATGCTGCAGGATGTTGAGATTTTTTTTTTTTTAAAGAAAGTTAAATGAAAAATACAACACATGGTTAGCCGTCCCTCACCCATGTCATAGGAAAGGTGATGTTGTAGTACTGTTTAAAACACAATGTACTGCACTAGTTTTTAGCATCTTGACAATGCTTTGCCTACATATACTGCACTTCCAGAACTGTACAGTATACTGACCAGATTGGCTTTATTACTGTGCACATTTCACAGTAGCAGACAACCTTCTCTTTTTATGTAACATAGAAGAACAGTGGGGACCGTCTTCACTGTTTTAATTACTTTAAAAGCATTGGAGAGGAGCGTACTTTTTAAGGAATATAGTTGTCAGTTTCTGTCTCTTAAATAATTGAGTAGGATTGGGTGGCAAAAAACTGTGTATTGAATAAAGAGCTTTCATTCACCGGCTTCAGGTTTTGTATACTTCCAGGTAATGGGTATTCTACTCTTCTCATTCCAATTGAAATTAAGTGTAGCTGTCTAATCCATATGTATCATCTGGAGTCTAAAGAGACGGAAGTACAGATATTTAAAATATTGACTATTCCACTAATCCTTCATCTGTCATTTGTATTCATAGCTTAATCAAGATTGCAGGAAATAAGCTGCTGGTGCTTAACTGAATTCATAAATAGCCTTTCTTCAGAAATAATCACTGTCTAGCTGATGGGGAATTTTTCCACACACGCTGAATTCTATACCAAGCCAATATAAATCTGAAACTATTATTTTTCCTTCATGTAGTAGAGATATGAATCAATTTGATCTCAGGACTAAGTGCAGGAAGAGAGCATCTTGGTTTTAAAGTTCATGTGTGTATCATTGTCTGCACTTTGGACATTAAAGTATAACAGGGTTGGCAACATATGGCTCCTGAGCCAAACATGGTTCAGTGGGGAGCCAAATATAGCTCTCTTTCAGCTCCAGCTCAACTACCCCCTTGCTCCCTCACAGCAGGGAGCCCGCGCTGGCACTCAAGCCTCGCAGCCCCCTGCAAGATTGGAGTGCCAGCGCCAGCTTCCTGTGAGGAGAGGAGGGTAAACACTGAACCGCCCTGCCAGATGATGTGGACTAATTTAGTTACAACTACCTGAAAGAGATCTTGGAGTCATTGTGGAGAGTTCTCTGAAAACATCCACTCAGGTGCAGCAGCAGTCAAAAAAGCGAATAGAATGGTAGGAGTCATTAAAGGGATAGAATAAGACAGAAAATATCTTCTTGAACATAAGAATGGCCGTACTGGGTCAAACCAAAGGTCCATCTAGCCCAGTCTGCTGACAGTGGCCAGCACCAGGTGCCCCAGAGAGGGTGGACTGAAGACAATGATCAAGCAATTTGTCTCCTGCCATCCCTCTCCAGCCTCTGACAAACAGAGGCCAAGGACACCATTTTATCCCCTGGCTAATAGCCTTTTATGGACCTAACCTCCATGAATTTATCCAGCTTCTCTTTAAACTCTATTATAGTCCTAGCCTTCACAGCCTCCTCTGGCAAGGAGTTCCACAGGTTGACAACACGCTGTGTGAAGAAGAACTTCCTTTTATTAGTTTTAAACCTGCTCCCCATTAATTTCATTTGGTGTCCTCTAGTTCTTCTATTATGGGAACTAATAAATAACTTTTCTTTATCAGCCCTCTCCACACCACTCATGATTTTATAGACCTCTATCATATCCCCCCTCAGTCTCCTCTTTTCTAAACTGAAAAGTCCCAGTCTCTTTAGCCTCTCCTCATATGGGACCCGTTCCAAACCCCTAATCATTTTAGTTGCCCTTTTCTGAACCCTTTCCAAGGCCAAAATATCTTTTTTGAGGTGAGGAGACCACATCTGTACACAGTATTCAAGATGTGGGCGTACCATAGTTTTATACAGGGGCAGTAAGATGTTCTGGGTCTTATTTTCTATCCCTTTCCTAATAATTCCTAGCATCCTATTTGCCTTTTTGACCGCCGCTGCACTCTGTGTGGCAGTTTTCAGAGAACTGTCCACAATAACTCCAAGATCTCTTTCCTGATTTGTCATAGCCAAATTAGCCCCAATCATACTGTACATATAGTTGGGGTTATTTTTCCCGATGTGCATAACTTTACACTTATCCACATTAAATTGCATTTGCTATTTTGTTGCCCAATCACTCAGTTTGGTGAGATCTTTTTGGAGTCCCTCACAGCCTGCTTCTGTCTTGACTATCCTAAACAGTTTGGTATCATCCGCAAACTTTCCCACCTCACTGCTTACCCCTTTCTCCAGATCATTTATGAATAAGTTGAAAAGGATTGGTTCCAGGACTGACCCTTGGGGGACACCACTAGTTACCCCTCTCCATTCTGAAAATTTACCATTTATTCCTACCCTTTGTTTCCTGTCTTCTAACCAGTTCTCAATCCAAGAAAGGACCTTCGCTCTTATCCCATGGCAATGTAATTTACACAAGAGCTATTTCGAAATAGCGCCATAATGTGAATATGCAAGTGAAGCACGGGATATTTAAATCCCGGCTTCATTTACAATTTTGAATGTCTTCATATGCATCCCTCTCTCGAAAGAGGGTGCAAGTGCAGAAATACCCAAAAGGGGGCTATACTACAGGTCTATAAAATCATGACTGGAAAAAGTGAATAAGGAAAAGTTATTTACTTGTTCCCACAATATAAGAACATGGGGTCACCAAATGAAATTAATAGACAGCAAGTTTAAAACAAACACAAGGAAGTTTTTCTTCATTCAGCGCACAGTCAACCTGTGGAACTACTCGCCAGAGGATGCGGTGAAGGCCAGGACTTTAACAGGGTTTGGAAAAGAGCTAGATAGATTCATGGAGGTTGGGTCCATCTATGGCTACTAGCCTGGATGGGTAGGAATGGTGTCCCTGGCCTCTGTTTCTCTGGAGGTGGGTGATGGGAGGGATCACATGAGGATTCCCTGTTGTGTGTGTCTGGGGTATCTGGTATTGGCCACTGTCGGCAGACAGGATACTGGGCTAGATGGACCTTTGGTCTGACTCAGTATGGCCGTTCTTATGTTCTTATCCAGCTTCTGGTGAAGAAGTGGGGGGCTGCCCCCAGCCCTGACCCTGGAGCACGCCCCATTGTCCAGCCCCCATCTGGCCACAGGAAGGGCTGGTGGCAGCCCCTCTCCTGCTGTGGCACAAGTAGGAGGGGAGGCCGCAATCTGGCTGCTGCAATCCTGGCCCAGTCTCCTATCCAGCCACTGTTGCCCAGGTGCAGCAGCCCAGCCCTGGCCAGGTAAGGTACTCTATTTCCAACCCCCAGCGCCCTGCCTGCCCTGCCTCCTGCACCTCCCACACACCCCAATCCCTGTCTCCTGCACCCCCAGCAGCAGAAGTCCCATTACATAATGTCTGTGAGAACAATGGTTCATTTATGCTATTATTAATCATGTCAATTATTAATAATAAATTGTGTATTTTCAGTCCTACAAATGGGCATTCTTATTCAGCTCTTTGACTACTTATTCTGAGTTGTGATGTAGTTTGGCTCTGGTTTGAAAAGGTTGCAGACGTGTACAAAATGTTTATATATTTGATTTTCCATGTACTAAACAAAGTGTCCTCTCTTTTTGGAAACATTTTGGAAAATAACTTTTTTTATATGATTAATCATTGTGGTAAAGGTCTTTATGGTGAAATTCAGCTGAGTCCAGCAAACATTCTCATCAAACATTGGCATCTCCTTTCTAGATCAAGTTGCAGTTACCTTATTTACCTATTTATTGTGAGGCAACCAGGCCAATGAATGCCAGCCTAGTTACAGATTATACTGTAGGTTTAATACGTGATGGACAGTTGCAAGTTGGTATCAGTTATTTTAAGCACAGAGCTGACGGTTTTTGGCAAATATCTGCAAAGAAATTTTGAAATGTGGGACAAACATTAATGACCAGATTCTACTTTTGTGTACATTACTGGAAATCTGAAGTAGCTCTTTTTATATTCAGTTAGCAAAATGAAAGGCGCCATTCCAGGTTTACTTTAAAGTAATTTAGATTAGAAGCAGACCTAAATGTTGTTACTTTTCATCCATTTTGAATGCGGTGTTCATATTGGCCAGTTTACTTCGCAAGTGCATAACCCTTTAATAAAGCAGTTTAGAAACTCATAAAATAGTTACTTAACTTGCTCTTTAAAAAACACGCAATACTGGCATTCACTTCAGGGTATGTCTAGTATTTTAACTGTCACTTCATCAATTGAAGTACCTTAAAAGGGTGTTACAAAGCGGAGGGAAAGCAGACAGGCAGGGGCCCTGTTTTGGAGTCGTGACAGTGGAAACAGGAGAGAGTCGTGCAGAGCAGGGAGTGAGCGTGCTGAGGGCTGAGCATTGGGGGTGAGAGGTGTGTAGTAGAGCAGAGAGGGTTGCAGGCTGTGGCAGGGAAGCACATGTGAGAATGCACAGGGCTGGAGTGGCAGGAAGCAGGAAGGGCTGAGTTTGAGAGGGAGAGCAGTAAGCCAGTATGCCCCAGTGCAGCACACTGGTAAGAGATTGGCCAGCTGGGCGTGCCTTGGTGCTCTGGTAGCCAGCCTGTGCAGTCTCTGCTGCCCAGGCCAGCCCCAGGGATCAGGTGACTGGGCAATACACTTCCTTCCTGCACCCCTGCCTGGAGCTTCCCACACACATTTCTTACAGGTACTGTCCTATCTCAACGCCCCCCCTTCCTCGTGCCCTGCCCTGCCTCCCCACCCTGGGCAGGGGACTGCGATGGGACAATACTTGTAGGAAATGTAAGTTACTTTCACCCCTAGAGGTAGAGAGGGCTGGGGCAGTAGCCTGGGGGCCATAAGAGTGCAGAGAGGCCTCGGGTGGTGGTATACCCAACATGACATGAACGGGGCTGCAGTGGGAGTGTGAAGGGATGATTTTCAAACAGGCATGCAGTGTCTGAGCAGCCCCGACTGCAGAAAGGAATGAGTCTGTGTATTGTTTGGGGCTCAATATCACAGCCAAATGCTCCACCCAGAGCCAGGATTGCTGCATCTACTAGTGACTAGGTAGAGTGGATGAGCACCTTGGAGAGGTCTGCTCCTTCACTCATACAGCCCAGGACAGGAACGTGTCCACCAGAACGTGGGCCTGAGTGGAAGAGGTTCTCAAGATGGGCAGTCCAAAAAGGCCTGGACCCAGCCTGCACCTCCGTACCAGGAACCTTGACTACCTACTGCCTCCAAGCAAGCCGGCCTTTGCCTGGGCTCACTCATCTTTGCAACACTTTCTCCTTGTCTCAGGCTGGTGCAGCTGCAGCGACCTCCCACCCCACAATACTGACGTTTCTCAGGGTTACTACCCGCTCACCAGTCAGAGACCCCCTCCTGCCGTGTGATCTCAACATCATCCTGAGATACCCAGGGCCTCCATTAACCCCTCTCAGAACACTCCCTGCACTGTCGCACT